AATAAAAAAGATATTGTTTTTTCTTATTTATAACTTTAATTTTATCTATTATTTTTATATTACTTCTTCAACTAAAAATTATTTAACTTTTTCAAAAATTAATTATATTATTAAATTTGATATTACATAATTAAAAACATATAAAAGAATATGTCTTGTTTATTTTTTTGTAATTAATATAATTAATTAATTTGTAATCTTAATCAATTATTTTTTAGAAGATTCAATATAATTAAAATTCAAGATTAAATTGAAATAGAAAAAAATTTTTAGAAAAATTAGAAAAAAAAAAAACATACTTAAAAAAAAAGAAGTAGAAAGTTAAAGAGATAATAGAGAAATTGAAAACTTTTTTTTTTTTATTTTTTTGAATTCTTAAATCTCTTGAAAATTAATGAAATATGTTTTTTTTTATTAGTTTTCTTTCTAGAAAAATGCTTTTGCCATAGGCTTTTTAAATAGATTTTTTTGTATTTACTGTAGTTATTGAAATAAATAAAAAAAGTATTTTGAAAAAGAAAAAATAAACAAATAATAATTGCTACTTGCTTTGTTAATTAGAAAATCAGTATTGTTAAAAAAAATATATAAACTTTATTATTATAAAAATATAAAATCTTTTAAAAATATCTGTTTTTGAATATTTATAAAAAAAATAGTAAAAAAAATTTTTTTAATATTTATTTTTTAATTTTAAATATATTATTTATTATAAAAAAAAATTAATTACTTATTATTTTTCAAATAAATTTATTTAAAAATTTTTTACCATATAAAGTAATTTATTAAATTTTTAATTAATATATAGCAATTGAATTTTTGAAAATTTTTAAATATTCTTGATTGAAAAAATAATTTAACAAATAAAATAAAATTAAATAATACTTTATTATTTATTTTATGTTTGAATTTTATAAAGCAAAAAATAAATTTAATACATGATATTTTGTTTTTTTGATATACTGTATAAATTTTTTAAAAAACCATATTATTAAAATATGAATATGTAAATTCAATTATACTATCTTTAAATGGTTTTTCAAAAAAAAGAAATACTGTACATAAACCGTTAGTTACAATAATTTAAAGAATTCCAGTAAAGAATGAAAATTTTTTGCCAAATTAGGTGCGAATTGAACTTTCTCCAGAATGATCTCGAATTACGATTTGTACGACACACGTTATAGCGTCAGATGTCGGGTTTATGATTTTAAGTAATAATTGGCATTTGTTCTCACAGTGATCAAAAAAAAAAAAATGGATAACAAAACTCCTTTAAGCAATCGAGAATATTTGCTTTCTCCCAAGACAAATACCTACCGTCGTCGTTCTAAAAGTCTAAGTGACAAGGCAGAAAAGAATGGAACCTCTATTAGCCTTCACAATCGCGCAAGACGTCATTCTCCACCACCAAGACACGCTCACCATCAACCAGTCATGAAGTTCAATAGTGACATGTGGATGCAGGTTGAGATTGCGTTTTCCATTTCTCAAGTCATTGCACTTTTTTACTAATAAAAATTCCTTTTATTTCAGGAATTCAGGCAATCGGTCATGGAAAAATTATTTAGAGAAGAGCGTTTTAAAGCCTTCCAAAAGAGACGAGAATTAGAGAATTTTATGGATTTTAGTGATGACGAGGAATGGGCGGAACAACAAAAGGTTAGGATTTAGTTTTATACTACCAATCATGTAATTAGATCATTCCGCAACTCCACATGTCGACTTGGCGTGGCATGACTAATTATTAGAAAGAAATTAATCAGTTTCAAATTTCTTCTCCAAAGTTAATTCAATCCGTAGTTCAAAATGAAAGGGCTTCACAGTACCAACAGTGGTTACAACAACAACCATTAAATGCGGAAACTCAACAATTGCAACAGCAACAAGAGACCTTTGTTAACACGTTACCCACAGAAATTGCTCAAGCCGTTGCATCAAATAATTTGCCTTCGGAATGGTTCCAATATCGAGAGAAATGATGAGATGTATTTACATTGCATAAAATTGATAGCTTGTTGAAAATTGAAGGACAAAGATATCTACTGCATATACATATGTTGCCTGATTTTTTTTATTTTATTTCTTCATTCCTTTCCTTTCTTGTATATTTTTTTATTTACGTTTTCCGCTCTTCATCACTAAGGACGATTATAATAAAGATGATCGTGGAATACATATTTGTACATACCATACTTTAGATTTTAAATATGAGGTTTTTTTTCTCGATATGCTCCTGTAGAAGAAAAAATCGTGTATGATTACCAAGTTCTTAATTCAAGATCCGAGACATCTTTATATTTTTTGTTGAGGCGATGTAATGGCTGTGCAAGCTAATCCATTCATTCATTATGAAGTAAAATTGGGATTATCTTTGTATGTCGTTTACGTTCTTTATGCAAAAATTGCTACGGGTAATTAGATTGAAGTTCCTGAGTTCCTGATAGAATGGGGAAAGAAGGATGTCTCTCTATCATTCGAAAATCTAGGCTATCAACCATTACATTACAATAATTTACAATAATGCATTGTACAATTTATAATTTCGAAACCAAATAAGCTAGTGAGATTAAATTGTTTTTGGCCACAACAAAAAGATCAAAGATTGACAAAACAAAATTGACAACTCTTGCTTATTATTACCTTATCAAATTATGCCTAGTTTTGGTGGCATAGCAAATCAGGACGCTTGATTTTCATCAAACTGTACAGCCACGCCAAGTTCTTATTATTGTCCCGGAAAATTTTCCGAGTCATCGAAAACCAAAAGGAGGCGGCTAAGCATGCACTAAGCCACGACTTTATTTTAAGAATGAAGAACCGAGCCCAAAGGAATAAATAATTTTCTTCTTTTGCTACGGAGTTTTTATGAAATTAGACGTGAGATTAATTGTAATCGTCATAAAAGCTTTATGTGATTTACGTCGGCAATGGTCCAAAAGTGTTGTTGCTGGTAAGTTGTTAAGACATTATTTAGAAGTTCGACCTGTTATAAAATCTTTTATACGCTTCGCGTCGATTTTTTAGTATCAGGTTACGCGTTGGAACGATTCTTATAGCCCTTATAGTTCTGGGCACAAGCATTCTCGGAGCCTATACAGCCTTAGAATTCGTGGATAGTAAGTCTTCGTGCTTAGATCACGTGACAAATCGTGTTCGTTAAAACCGAATTCATATTCCTAAAATTTCAGCTAGCACCCCATTCTCCACAAGCCTTGGATATATCAATGGTGTCTGGCATATTGTCAAAGGAATTATTTGCATTGGGGGTCTATACGGCGCGTACTCGGTAGGTAAATATGCTACTTACAATTTACGCTCAAGTACTAACAGAACTGTACACATAACATGCATTACCAATGTAGCAAGATAAAAGATTGGTTCATCTTTTTGCGGTAATAATTAGCGTGACGGCAATGATTCATTTAGTCTTTGGAATTGGACTTGTGGTCATAGGGCTCAAGAATCAAGATAAGCTTGTGGATCTTTGTCTTCATAAAATTAACGTTACGTCGTCTACCGGTGGTTCTTGGCAACCGGGTCATGTTTGGATGGACTCCTTCAACAAGCGAGCTGATTCAAACACAACCACGACTTCTACTTCGGGCACCACAACCACCACGACTTCTGCCACTTCGACGGACAATACGGCTGCTTGTCAGACTGCTGTCAAATGGTACCTTGCGGTTTTCATAACTGTTACCATAATAACAGTTATACTTACGGTAACGTGAAATTATTTTTTTTTGTTGGGGAAAAGAGAAAAAAACAAATTCTGATGAATCCTTCTTCCATCTTAAAGTTTTATTTCGCCGCGGTCGCCTATCGTTATCGAGATGAACTTGACGAAAACTACAAACGCAGAAAATTAGATTCAGACCATGGCCCTTCTGGTGTAAGTATAGATCCTAAGTGAGGACTAGTTGACGGTTATGCATTTATCCAAGACATTTTTACCCGTCCTTTCATCGTAAAAAATTTTCGTAGCAAAAAATTGTTAATTATATATATATTTCATTACGGTAGACAACATGAGAGTTTTTTTTTTATTAGTGCATTACATTTTTTTCTTTTTTTTTTCCATATAAAGGCAAAAAAGATTTACTGTTTTTATATGTATATCTATTAAACTACAATTAACTTCACCATTTATATAATAAAACACATCTGAAAAAATCCTTTTCGAAAGCGATAAAATAAATGTTGGGCAAATATTCCAAGTTATATACAGCATTGTTAATTTCAGGGGTTACAGCATACCATTTGACACTAAAGTCCAGATTTCGAGACTTGGCCAATCAAACTGCGTAGAATTTCTTTATATAGTTAGTTATTCTCGACTCATTGGATGTGATACCAAACTTCTTCTCAATGTCAACCGACGGGAACGAAACCGCTGCCTTCGATGATGATTTAACGTAATTATTCACACAGCAGTTTCATTTGATTACCTGCTTTAATAATTTTCATTTCTTAGTTTATCCGCGCACGCGTTATCGGCTTTAAATGAATTTTTTTCAGAGCAACAAGAGCAGCAAATAAAGTTCGAACAGTTAAAACAACGTTCATTGAATTCGATTCAAAATTATCTGGACACGGAACGTAAAGAATTTGTGCAAGAAGATAGTGAAAACATTTTGACGAAAGAAAAAGATGAAAAGGAGGATGTTCAGGAAGTTAATATGAATTATTTCAAAGAAGATTGGCAGGTTTGTAATTTCATTTTTTTTTTAGATATATTGGAACATTCTCTTCATTCACGAAATCTTTCTTGTCTCATATAGTTAAGCCAATTTTGGGTAACACAGAGATAATTTTCTCATTTTTTATAAGTGTTTTGCGTTTGGGAATTAAATTCACGTAATTGCGATCTTCCCAGTACGATGATGAAACAACCGATGTGATAATACAGGAGATTTTGGATAACACCAATTCAGACAGTCAAATAGCATGTATAAGCACGCCAACAGTATTTGTAAAACTAAAGGTGAGATATCGAAATAATTTACTCATCCGTTTAAATTTATATAAAGCCATTCTTATATTTAAACAGTCGATGACTCCACTTCCGACCCAATCCATTCGTCTATTCGAGTTTGACACTCGATTTGACATCTACGGAAAAGATTTCATTCAATACGATTATAAAACTCCTACCAAATTTCGTGATTCATCAACATTCCAAAATGCTTTTGACTTTATCGTGGTGGATCCTCCATTTTTAAGTGAAGATTGCTGCGTAAAAACAATGATTACTGTTAAGTGGTTAGGAAAAAAAGAAGGTTGCAAATTTTTAGTGTGCACAGGTAAATGACCATTATGGCATTTCCATATTCGCACAAGTGTATTTTAACGGTTTCTGTTTTTTTTCTGGTGCGTCCATTTTAGGAGCCGTTATGCGAGATTTAGTTAATAGATTAGTTAAAGCTCGCATGACAACCTTTTATCCTCGGCACAAGGGTGGCTTAGCCAATGAATTCCGTTGTTACGTAAATTACAAAAGCAAGAATATAAACTTGGCAGAAGATTGATGTAATCGTGACCCACAAATTAAAAGATATTGCATTCATTCAAGAAACCTCAAATGTTGAATAAGAAATTTGATACGAAATAATAAACATAAATTCATGTTTATTACAATATTATATTAGGCTCAGTAGTAAATAGTTTTTAAAACTGATCCATGTACACATTATTATTAATTATATGGTTATGTGGTGTTGACTATTTGATTATTTGATAACTGTATAAATAATTAAATATATTAAATTGATTCTTAACCATTGTGTAATAATAAATTTAATTAAAATTATTAGTCATACATACAACATACACTGTATACTGTATACTGTATATTACAATAACACAAATACAAATAAGTATTTTTGAATTATACAGCATAAAAATTATATGTAGTTGACTTGAAAGTGGAAGATGCATACATAAATATATACTGTACTGTATTTTATAGGAGTTTTACCTTTGGAACCTAATAGAAAAAGATATATTTAGAATAATTAATCAAGATAAAATGTATTGGATTTTCGGATGTATTTTAAGTGAGATGACGGATAGAAGAAACGATGTGACGTCAATTTTTCTTGTTTGCAAGAGTAGAAACATAAGACATTTGGAAACCTTGTTATAAGTAAAAAGATTAGTGTACACGTTGATAATGATCAGATCGATTGGAATTGACTATCACAGGGCTTATATTCTTACAAAAAGATCAACTTTGAATTGTTCTCTTTTTTCTGTGTACGTCGTCTAATGATTTACTATACCGAAGCTTTCATAGTGTTATCCGGGCTATGCTTTATATTGACTTTTTGCCAGAGAGAGAAAAAATCATCGATAACAATATCTGAAGATGAACGGGCAGCTTCTGGATACAAAAGCTTTCGGATGAATTATTTGGCGGTATACTTTCTTGTGATGGGTAATAATAAATGTGATTATAGCTTTCAAATATTTTTATTTTTTATTTATTAAATTATGAAAATAGCTGGAGATTGGCTCCAAGGGCCATACATTTATGCCTTGTATAAAAGTCATGGATTCAATTTGAATCAAATTGCGATTCTTTTTGTAACTGGGTTTTTGTCTAGTGGTGTATTTGGAGTAATTGTTGGATCAGCAGCCGATAAATAGTAAGTTTCCACGTTCTCATACTCAATTTCGGGTATAATTCACTAAATTCGTTTTTCTAGTGGGAGAAGGAAATTCTGTATCCTTTTCACATTACTATATTCTATTGCTTGCTTGATTGTCTTGTCTTCAAATTTTTATCTTTTGTTATTTGGGAGGTTCGTATTCTTTGCAGATTACGGGTTAATATTATCATCAGATGTTACATCGACCTTTTTTATATTTAGAATACTGGGAGGAATCAGTACTTCCCTCTTATTTTCAGTTTTTGAGGCCTGGATGGTCAGCGAACATTTCTCGAGAGGTTGTAAAGTTGATGTTAAACCCAAAGAACACGATAATGTTTATACTGATTAAAACAATCGTTTCACAATAGGTTTTGCGCATTTGATTTCTAGCACATTTTCCTACGCAACATTTGGCAATGGATTAGTTGCAATAGTCTGTGGTTTAATCGCTAATTTGCTGGTGAAAAAATGCAACGTCACAACTCCTTTCTTGGCAGCAATCGGATTTTTTTCAACCGCCGCATCGGTGATTGCGACTACCTGGAAAGAAAATTTCGGAAACGAGCCTGAAAGGGTATTTTTTTTCTTTCACTACAAAATACAATATATATTTTGTTATTGTTATTCTTGATCATTTTAAAATATCATGGCATTTTTTTTTAGTTGAATTCTTTAGGAGATTCATCGTTTTTATCTCAGGCTTTAAAAATCATCAATAAGGGTAATTAACTATTTAATACCATTTTAAATATCCTGATGAAGTGAATGAATCAATTTTCATTTTCCGCTTAGATTCCCATATCCTTACAGTCGGAGTTATTCAATCTCTCTTTGAAGCATCCATGTATACTTTTATATTCATATGGGGCCCATTATTGGAACATTTTTCCGCGGAATTGCCTTTTGGCATTATTTTTGCCAGGTGAATCATTGTATCAAGTTGTCTCGGGAAATTTTGGTTATACTTCTGATGTAGATAAATTTACCATTTCATTGAATGTATTCTAGTTTCATGGTTGCAATCATGATTGGATCTTTGATATATAGTCACATGAGTGGCACTCAAAATATTTCATTATCTGCAATTGCAAATTTAACTCTTTTTACAGCTTCCGTTTCACTATTAATACCCATATTTTTTCAAGTAAGAATTAACGAATATATGTTGCATTTATTATGTTCCTTACGCCAATATTTTCCTGTACCTTCGAATAGAGCGAACTCATACTCTTTATATCCTTCACCGTGTTTGAAGCGACATGCGGAATTTATTTTCCTTTGATCGGAACATTCCGCGCCAAAGTTGTTCCCGAACATTTACGCGCAACCATCGCGAATCTATTCAGAGTTCCTTTGAACTTGATAGTGGTTACGCTATTGGTAGGTTTTTTATTATTATAAATATTTGGAACTGAGTTATAATTTTTAATCCACTATCCATTTTTTACAAGTAATTAATCAAGTTTTTTCCAACTTACTGATCATTTTATCATTTTATCATTTTATGATGCCAATCAGATGATTAACTTCTCACTTTCAACAAGATGTTTATTGAGTAGTCTACTGCTTTTCACAGCATTTATATTTTCATATTCCCTTCCAAAGGTAATTATTATTTTCTCTTTTTTTTTTTTTTTGCATATTACTGCATAAACCATATATAGACTCGATCCAACATTAATCAAAATATGTTGAAATTCCCAAATATAGATATATGACACTAATCTTGAAATTAATCACAATGATTGATAATAACATAACAACCAATTATCAAAAGAAATATAGTATACAATTATAAAAGAAAAAAGATTTCGATAAAAGGATAACAATTCATTTTATTTTCATTTTTAACAATTAAATTATCATTTAATAAAAATGTTGACTTTTTCAATATACTGTACCTATAATATAAATTTTAAAAATTTTTTAAATTTTTTATTTAATAACTATAATTGTAAAAAAATATATATATATATATTTATTTACACATTTTTTTATTATTAATTTATATTCAGACCTATGGATCCATAGCTCAGTGATTAGAGCGCCATAGATCTGTATCACAAGCTACAGGTTCAATTCCACTAGGGAGCTAATGTGATTTCCCAAAAAACCATATGGAAACTTGTATGCCATCAACCTAACTGTATAATAATCAATGCTTCTAATTATAGAAAAACTGGTCTATAAGAGGATTGTGATATGATCAAACGTTCGAAATCGACTAGGATTAGCCCTGACATGATCACATTGCCATAAAAAGATAATAAGAAGAGTAGATCCAAAATCAGTAAAGTGCCTTTGAGGGATTCCTAATAGGTGCATTGAAGGATACCAATCAAGCATTTGGCTGTGTGGTGTTTCACAGACTTTACTATCAGGAGGCCTTGGTGGAAGGTGAAAACCGTAGACCACTCCAAAGGACTGAAAACTAGGGTTCAAGATACTGTAATCGATGGCCTGATAACCAGAATACTCTTAATAAAATTGTTCTGGGAAAAATTAAAACAGATTCATACATCTTTCTGAAAACAGAATAGTCTTTCCTATTTAACTATTCAGATTTAGGTAGTAATTATACATAGCATTAAGTTAAATGATATATAACTAGTTATATATAGATAAGTTAACTATAAACATATATGTATAATACTTGTTGAGTATTGTAGTATTGCCTTAAAAAGTTTCAATAGAATTAAAGTAGTACCTTTGTGATTAAAGTTCGATATTACTGTAATTGTACTGAAAGCATATATTTTAATAAAAGATATGGCATATACGTAAGTACTTAATTAGCAACAAAATACAAAATAACAAATAGGAACACAACACGAACTTTAATCATTTAATCAAAAACTATTATATATAAGCTAATGGAGCCTTGGCATGTTAGCTCAAGCCTCTGTCTTTGGACAAGCTGACAGCAACAAGCCGATATGTAAGTTACTTAGATATAGCTTTATTCATATATAGTAAACTATGTACAATACATAAAAACGTGATATGTATAAAGTATTTAAAAGTCAATAAAGCAAGATCCAGCTGGTGTTTAAAAATAAAAAATAAAATAAAATAAAATATTTTATTATATAATCTTAAATAACTCCATAAAAGAACACCTCTATAATAGAATACAATTTGACTGTTCCAACCATATTCTTTTATGGAGGGTTGACTGTATATATATATAATTCCAATGATATTGAAATAACAGTTTGCTGTTATTAAGTATAAAAGTTTAAATATATTGAAACAGTTTAAATAATATGCTTATAATTTGACAAAAGAAAATCATAAAAAAAACACAAGTGTTTATTTAAAGAATAATTATTATCGTTCAAAGCAGTAGTGAAGGACCTTTTACTTCTAGGCATTTTGAATATACTGTCATTTTATTCCGTCGCATAATTGACATATAATCGACAAATAAAAATTTATACATGTTTTAAATAGTCTAAAACATATAATGTGTTCTGTCTGTTAATATAGTAAAAATTAAGTTCATATTTAATGATAAGTTTATTTAATCAATTAAACTTTTTTTATACTATTAATAAAAGACTTAACCAAAATAACTTTTAATATATTTAAGCTTAATTAAAGTTACATTTAATAAAGTATCTTGCAGTATTATCAAACTTCTATTTATAATTTAATGCTCATATTTGTCTCAATTAAAATAAAATCTCATTTATGTATCATTCTTTTTTTTTTGTTTATAATAAAAAAATATAAAGATGATTAATCAACCTGCTCCAATATATAATAATTCAATTAGAAAACGTAAAAGAAGAAGTAATGAAACTCTTCACCAAACTGAAATACATTGTGTTCATGACTTTGAAAATAAGTGAAAAAAATACTTACTCTGGTAAATAAACAAAAAAAAGCTCGTTTGCTTAAAAATTATATACAAAAGTAAAAAGAAAAACGATGTTATGTTTTAGAATCTGCTGATGAATATATTAACCATTGTCAGGAAGAACATTATCATGATAATTTTCAACATCTTTCTGAGTCCGACCATAAGCTTCTGCTAAAATTTCACATTGAGATAAACAAAATCAAACATATATCTTGTCCTGTATATAATAAATGCTTCCTATCAATTAATATCATCATGGGGCAGTGTCATCACTGTTACAATGATAAGAATATGATAAAAAAGTTCTCTGTGGAAAACAATATGGATTCAGGTAATATACCTGAAGAATTAAAAGGTCTTATCGAGATAGAGGAAATGTTAATCGCCTAATCTTTCCCTATCATTTCTATATATTACCTTCATGAAGGCCAATATGTTTACTGTGAAAATGTTATAAGCTTTTCACAAAATATAGAAGAGTTTGTAACCCGTCTTCCCTGACATCCCTTATCATTGGATATGCTTATTATATGTCGCCAATCAGTAGAAATTTCAATATCATTCAAAGACTTTAAAGTTCAATATATTAAAATTAGACAAGTACTTTATTGGTTAAAAGATAACAATCATTATTATATCAATATTGTTATTAATAATAATATACTATGTTCCTTGCCTAATAATGGTCCTGTTGATCTTCCGCAGCTTTGTAATGTAGATGGCAAGCTCCAAAATATGAAAGATGAACTCATGTATATAGAGAATGATCGCTTAAATAGTAATATAGAAGATATAATCATTCGTAATTTTATACCAGCTTCTCTACCATCCTATAGTGAAGATCAAGCTATTGATGATGCATTTGCTCAAATGCAGGCTGAAACTAATCCTGTTATGTGGCCGAATATAGATAGCAATGCTATTAATGAATTTAATATCTCTAGCTATATTGCTTATGCCTTTTCAACTCTGTATCCAACAGACAGTGCTGATCTTCATACTGAACTTGTCAGAGATATCAAACCGGCTGAGTACTTTCAGCATTTGCTAAAATATAAGGATGGAAGGTTTGCGTGCCACCCCTGATGGTGATACTTTGTTTTGAATTCCCAAATGTAATGGAGAGCATTGCAGGAAGGAAAGATTTATGTTAAGCAAAGTCTAAATGGCAGACAGCTTACCATTGAGGATGTTTAAGAAATAGTCAAAAGTAATACTCATATGGTTAACCATGTTATGCAATTTGGTGAGGGTTTGCATAGTACTAGACAGTTTTGGACCAAATGATATTTTGAACTGTCTGATATGATAAAACAGTTAGGAGCACAAGGAATGATATTTTTTATCTTCAGTGCTGCTGATTTACATTGGCCAGACCTCCATAGGCTTATGCCATATGGTGAAAATTCAATAATTGTGGAATCGGAGCAGGAGACAAGCAATCATCGTCATCAAGATTTGATTGATAATTCTCACATTATGGCCTGGTTTTTTGAAAAACATTTCAAAGTATTTCTGGAAAAAGTTCTAATTTCTAAATGGAGTTTGGAGGACTGGTGGTATAGGTTTGAATAGCAACATCATGGCAGTATTCATATCCATGGTATTGGAAAAATAAAAGATGCTCCTGTATTTGATTGAAAGAATATTAAAAACAATGAAGATGCAATGAATAGAATCTTATGCCACCTTGATTCATTGGTTACTACGATGAATTCGGATTTCAATGCACCTGTATCTGATTGTCATCCTTGCCAAAAAAATAATAATGAATTATGTGATGACCTGCAGGACTACATTGAACTCATTAATAAACTACAAAGATATATATGATGTAGTCCATCATACTGTTTTTATGTAAAAGCAGGTCAATAGCATTGTCGATTTGGATTTCCAAAAAACATTGTAGAACATACCTTTATACATAATAATAATCATGATCAACTAGAGCTTATTACAGCAAGAAATAATTCCTATACTAATTTCCATAACTGTCTTTAGCTCCAAGGTTGACATGTAAATGTTGATCTTTAGCCCATTCTTAATATTCATGCTGCCCTATAGTATATTGCAAAATATGCTACTAAATTTAAATCACATTCTTCTTTTTCAGAAATGCTAAATAAGATTCTTTCTGAAAGTGACTCTTTTGAATCTTCTCTTGATACATTTTAACGATTATTGCTCCATACCATTGCAGAACGTGATATTTCTGCACAGAAAACTTGTTATCTTCTCCTTTCCCTCCCTCTCACTGTTTCAGTCAATCTTTTGTTATTTTAAATCTTAACAAAGAAGCTTCGCGATGGCTTTGTAGAAGTAGAAGTGATAATCTGTCAATTAGCAATGTTGGACGAACTGAACAATCAGCCTTGCAAAAGTATTGGAACAGACCAGTTGAACTTGAAGACCTTTCACTCTTTCAGCTCTACTTAAAATATAGGTATTATAATGGTAATTGGAAAAAATATAATTATGAGAATATCATACGTATTTGGCCAAGACCATCACCTCAATGCAATGGCCCTCAATAGGAAGAGTTTTACTATGTAAAGGTTATACTTTTTATTAGTTATTGTAATATTCAAC